GCAGAAAACACAAACGAGATAATGGCATGAAGCACAACTAATATGAAAACTAAATGAAACTATAAAGCAAAGAATAAAAATAGAATTTAAAAGATAATTGGCCACAATATAAGAATACACAGCCAGGAAGGTCCCATACATTGTTGGTCATGGTTGCTTTGTTGATTGATTTTGCTTTTTACTCCTTTTCTTTGTTATAAAGGAAAACTTGGGAGTGGGGGGGGTGGGGGTGGGAGGGTGCAGTGGGAGTTTGGGAGTGAGATAAAGGATGTATCTGGAAATGACTGATGTAAAAAAAGGCATCAATAAAAAATCTAGAGAGCTTTATACAAAAGAAAAATATACAATTAAATCTCTTAAGAGAAATTATTCTCAAATTTCACAAGCGTAAGAATAAAAGATCCTTCAGACAAACAAAAAAAAAGGAAATAGAGATAGCCCAGTATAATATAAAGAGCCAGCCCCGGAGGTCCAGAAGACTGGGTTCTAGTCCAGTCTCTGAGTCATACTGACTGTATGACCCTGTACGGATAAATTGTTTGATGTTCATTCAGAAGAATGTTTGAGAAGAACAAGCCTCAGAAAAATCTGTCAACCAAAGTACAAAGCTTTTCCAATTAGAAGCGGAGCAATGCCCTCAGATCGCTGAAATTCGTCATCAAGATTTGTTCCCAGGCCCATATTCAAATCCTCACCGGGCTGATGCAGGGCGCCACAGAACTCGTATTCTCCTGTCACTGTCACAGCCATAACTGTCACTGTGCCCAGAGTTTGTTCTGTGCCATGGTGAGGCATTAGAGAAGGAATTTAGTGGAGAATAGTACATCAACTCAACAAGAAAAAAATGACGTGAATCTGATGGTAATATCAGCCGATGTTGAAAAGGTCAGCTTTGGATATTTCCAACCACGTGTCCCGTAGGTATCTCAAACCCAGCATATAAAAAAAAGCAGAACTAATCATTTTTCCTCACAACCCATTCCTCTTCCAAACATCTGTCTTTCTGCTGAGGGCACCACCATCCTTGGAGGCATCCTCGCTCACTTCAAATGTGCAGTCAGTCCAGATCTCGTCATTTCTCTTCCGTGGTCTCTTTCACATTGTCGTCTTCTGTCTCTTCATAACACAACTATGCCAGTTTGAGCTGTCATCAAGCCTGAACTATTATGGAATTCTCCCCTACTCTTGATATGGTCTTACTGTTAAAAATATCAATTAAAATGGCCACTTCCGTATATAAAATAGACAAATGGACTAATAGTTTCTCATTATACTTGCCTCATCTTGCCTCTCTCCAATCCATCCTCTCCATAGCTGCCAAAACACAGTCTGATCACCTTGCTCCCCCATCGAAGAAACTTCAGTGGTTCTCTCTTACCTCCAGGATCAAACACATTCTCTGTTTGGCAGTTAAGGCCTTTCACAACATGCTCTAACCTGCTTTTCCATCATTGCTATACATTACTCTCTTTTTCATTCTTTGGTCCAGCCAAACTGACCACCTACTTGCTCTTCCTTATACACAGGGCACTGCATTCCTGTCTCCATGTCTTTGTACAGTCTGTTCCCCTGCCTGGCATGCAGTCCCTCCTCATCTCTACCTTTGTTTCCTTTCCAGCTCAGCTCCCAAGGTCTTTCCTGAGGCCCCCAGTGCTTCTCACTCCTTCCAAAAATTACCTTGTATTTTCTCTCCCTTCACCTTTACCCTCTTCTTTGTGTTCTGTTGTATATATGGAAGTGATAATTTTAATTGATATTTGTTACATTAAGACTATATCAAGAGTAGGGGAGAATTTCATAAAAGAAAACATGCTGATAACCGCATTTGTATAGTGCTTTGAGATTACGTGTACAGCACTTCACAAGTTTAAAGTACTATATAAATGCTAGGTGTTATTGAAGCTTGCAGGGTACTTAATCACATTTTGCCTCAAAATAACCCCATGTGATAGGAGATAGCAGAGGGCAACCTTATAAAGGAGAAGGATTCCTTATAAGGTTTGATTTAAGGAGGTGCAGGTGTTTAATTTAACCTGAGAAGAGAAGACTGAGGGAGGGACAAGTGCTCAAAAGGGCTTTGTTTGGCTCCAGAGGGCAGGACGGGTGGATGTTGTAAAGAATCAAGTTGAGCTTCAATGTCAAGAAAAACCTCCTGATAGTTAGAGCTGTCTAGAAGTGGACTGTCTCTGGGGTTCCCCCTCATTGCAAGCCCAGAAACAAAGGCTAGCTTGATGACTGCTGACAGGGTTGGATTGCTTGTAGCAAGATTCTTTTTCTGGTATGATTTGAAATGAATAGATGTTGGGCTCCTTTCCAACGCCGGAATTCTGCAACATGTCAGAGGCAGGATTTAAAGGCAGATTTTCCTGGCTTTCAGGTTCAGCAGTTGTTCCATTATGCTCTATTTTCTCTCAAAACCAACAAAACTGATCAGGTCTATCAGGTGCTAGACAAAATAAATCAATAAACAGAATAGAGGTCCTAGAAGTGCATTCAAATGTATATAAAAGGTTGGTTTCTGTATATTAAACATTGGGGGCAAATCATTTTTCAGTACATACTGTCAGGAAAAACAGATAGCAATGTGTTGGGGGGAAAACAGCTATACCTTATATCATAGTATTTAAATGGATCTGTGAACTCATCTTTCCAATGATACAGATTGTAACCCATCTGTGCCGTCCTATTCTATGGTCCATGTTCTCCCTAAAGTTCATCACTGGGGCTCCACCCGCCTCACTTTCTCCTGACATCATGAGAGTGCCAATGAAGGACTCCAGCCATCCACCAGTCATCCTTTCCACGTTACCAGCCCCTCTTCACTTTTTGAAGTACAATATATATGACCATTGAAAAGTTAAGAAAATTGGTTAGTACAGCCATAACAGGTTATGATGGAGAGAATTGGTATTAGTGCAAATGGCAGAAAAATTATTGGGGACAAGGAAGATGCATTTGATTGTATAACTGTTTTAGTAACTAGGGAATGTTTTTCACAGCATATTTATCAGATAAAAGGAATTCATATGAATCTAAATTGATATCCAGTTGAGACTGGATAAATGATCAGGAGATATGAATAGATACTTTTCAAAAAAGATAAACACTTATAAAAACACTCAACTTCACTAATCAACGAAACCGAAATTAAAACAACTTTAAACCACCACCTCACGTGTGTAAAATTGGCAAAAATAAAAGCAACTAAACCCAGTGCTAGCAAATTTGTAGGGAAGCCAATTGCACTTATGCTTTGCCGGTGACATTTTAAACTGGTAGTCTTTTTTGAAAAATAACCTGGCAATTCATAACAAAAGTCATAAAAATAATTCTATCTTTTGAAGCAAACATACCCCTAGAAAGATTCCCCCAACGTTTGAAATTAAAAAGGAAAAAAAGTGTTGTCTTATAAAGTTTCCTAGACATTGTTTATAAAAGCAAGAACAGAAAGTAGAAACAAAACAACCTTAATATTTGGGAATTGGCTGAACAAATTGGCACAACTGTTAAAAGTGCCAACCCCGAACATCATTATAAGATATACAAAGTAAAGAAAGCAGAAATAGAAAAAATCTATACATTTTGGCTATAACTATGTTTTTTAACTACATGCACATATATATGTCTTATAATACACACACATATGTCCCTTCATACTCACAAATGTTTAAAGAGATTAAGATGATATCAACGTAGTAAAGTTTATTATTTATAAAGACAATTGTCATTGGTATGAAATACAACCCGAGTTCAGTTGGTTTTTCTGATGTAAAAATTAAGACCATAAACATTTCTTTTAAAATGTAGATAATCTAAAGGGTTTCTTCAAGACTAATGTAGTGTAAAGCCACCATTCCTAGACACAGCCACATGGCCTGGGTTATGTCTTGGCTCTGACTTGTACTCCATGTGTGACATTTGACAAGTCACTTATGCTCTCTAGGACTCTAACTGGCTCACCTGAAAAGTGGGAATGACATTTATAGCATCCACCTCACAGGGAGATCATAAAACTACATACTTGTGTGATTTGTTAATGATAATGATGATGATGGTGGTTTCAGGTACCAGTACCCTACTATGGATGAGCTGGCTGAAATGCTGCCTGCCGTCTTAACTCATTTAAGGTAAGTTTAGAGGTGATACAATTGAATGTCCCTGTGTCTGTGCGATTAAAACTGATGTTTTCCTTGGCTATTGTGTTCTGTTTTAGGAAGAGGATTCTGGGTGAGGGTGTTATTCGACTAGTAGTCTGGGTAGTGCAAGTCTAAGGAGGATAAATGGGAATGTTTGAAGCTGGCCAGATCATGAAGGGAAGGAGAGAAAAAAAACAAAGGCAATACTGGGACTTCCCATATAAAGTTAACCTTTTTAATCTTGGCCTATCTGTTTTGCAGCTTGAAAGGTATCATTGGAATTGGAGTTGGAGCTGGTGCTTATATCCTCAGCAGGTTTGCTGTGAGTAAACAGACGGGGATGGGCCCAAGAACCTGAAGGCCACATACTGGTTTTGTGAACTGTCCTTGTCTAAGACGTGCTGCTTCATTAAAGGGCAAAAGCTACAGGACAGAAAAGGAGTGAGCTAAGATATACTTTAAGCACCAAGGACAATTCCCCAACTTTGCCTCTGAGAAGGGCCAGCTAGAAAAATCCAAATATAGGCTTATATAGGGCCATGCTTTCCTCTTCATACCATCCTGTAAAACCATATGGAAACTGGGAGGATGATGAGATGGAAGGGAAAAAAAAGAAGGAACCTTCTATAACTGGGGCTTGTAACTTTTTTGGTGTCATGGATCCCTTTGGCAACCTTTGGATACTTAGAATGTTTTTAAATGCACAGAATTACCAACAAAATTAATTCTATTGAAACAAGTTCACAGACCTCAAAAATAAGAACCCCCACCCTAGAAGGTTTTGAAATGGTTAACGTGTATAAAAGATACTTAATGATTTGTTTTCATATAAGATATGTTAAAAAGGCCCATTTGGGGAAAGGAGAATAAGCTTTCAAAGCCAAAGTTTTAATCTAATCTTGCTTCCTCTCTGATTTTTAGAACATGAAAACACGTATGCAAATAATCCCAAAAGTGAAGAACTGTTCAAATCCCTTGTTAGTTATTATCCTAAGGAATTTACATGCTCAAGAATCTCTGGCTCCAGTAGGCTTGCTTTCAAGTTTCAGCATTTTGTAGGGGGATAATTTGGTCCAAGGTATAACATACTTGTAGAGAACCAAAGTGACAGTTTTATGACCCCTACTACTTAAGTACCTCCTTATCAACAGTAGAAATTCAGAATTCGTATCAGTCCTTAATTAGCACAGTTGATGCCCATTTTAAGAACTATCCCTGGGATTGCCTGCCCATTCAGATATTAACTCGTATGTGAAGGAGTTGTTTTTCTGAGTTCTTGCCTCACACTTACCTGCATGCTTTCTCATGAAAGCAGAAAGCCCACCTTCCTGTTTTGGAACAGGAAAATAATTAGCCATACTCTTACAGTGTTAGGACAACCTCTGTGGAGCCTGGTTGGAAAAATGGTACTCTCTTTGCAGTTACTCTTTCTCCTCTATAAAGGTATAAAAGTGCTGATGTGTCTGTCTCTCTGTCTTTCTTTTTTTTTTTTTCCAGCTCAATCATCCAGAGCTGGTGGAAGGTCTCATGCTCATCAATGTTGACCCCTGTGCTAAAGGTTGGATTGACTGGGCAGCCTCCAAGGTAAGTGCCCATTCTGAATATCCAGGCACTTTTCTCACAGTGTGTTCCCTAAAGATTTTTGCCTTTGCTTCTTTTCCAGAGAACATATACTCTCTGAAAAGGAAGAAATTCCTCCTTTCTGATGTGTTTGTTGGGGTTCAGGCAGAGGTAGCAAGTTGACTTTAACCTACTCATAAAGTTGCAGAATCTTACACATATAAATGATTTGAACGCCAATAATCATTATGTACTCATGGAGCTCATCCATGCCAAAATAAATTCACTGTTTTTAGGTTGAAAAAATTATTTTGAAATAAGTTTTCCTTGAGTGCTAGAATTTCCAAGTGTTACTGCCAAAAGAATGGCAGCAGCTTAAATTAGTGGTGGTCTGGAATTTGCCAAAATAGAATTTTAAAGGGCTTGCATATAAGCTCTATCATTGATTTTAAAGAGCTAGTTAGGTAGTAGAGTCGACCAGAATAGAATCTGAGTGGGAAGGGACCCCAGAGGCCATGTAAGCCCAATCCTGTTTCTGAGCAAGAATCCCTTCTTACCACATGCCCAAGTGGTCATTCTTCCTTCACTTGAAGGACTCTAGTTTGTTGTTGTTGCTTAGTAATTTTTCAGTCATGCCTGATGACTCTTTGACTGATTTGTGGTTTTCTTGGTAAAGATACTAAAGTGATTTGCCATTTCCTTCTCCAGCTCCTTTTACAGATGAGGTAATTGAAGCAAACAGGGTTAAGTGACTTGCCTAGGGTCACACAGCTAGTAAGTGTCTGAGGCCAGAGTTGAACTCAGGAAGATGAGTCTTCCTGATTCCAGGGCTGGCACTCTGTGCACCTAGATGAGGAGTTGTGAAAACAACTGAAAATAAGACCCCATAGGTTAATGATCTACAGGGAAAGTCTATTTAGGAGGGATAGAAAACTCCTTAGAATGAAATTTTGAGGACACAAAGAAAAATGATTAATGAAGGAATTGTCTAAAGAAACTGAGGTAGATACAAAGGGAAATAAGTGACCACACAGATTTTTAAAAGACACATACAACCGAGAGAATAGCGGGTAAGGGAAAATAAATGAGTCCTGTTTGAATGGCATAGCCTATAGGATCGTTGCCAAAAGTTCTGTAGCTTACAATGAGCTTAATGCTGGTCAAAAATGTTAAGGACAATAAAAAAGGGTGATTTTTTTTTTTTAGCCATATTGGGGAAAAGAGGATGGAAGAAGGGATAGGACCATGGCTTGGGATGGATGGGACAACAACAACTAATGACAGAACTACAACTCTAACTAGGGAAGGGTACAGTAGGAGAAAGAGTGAGCTGTCATCTGTGACCCTATAATACTTTCTTTAATCCTACAGTTATTTTTTCTATTCTCCATAATCTTTCAAAGATCTCTTATAGGCAATGCCTCTGAAATCACACTTCCAATTCTTCCAGGGCTCTGGATATAGTTCATCCTGTAACTTGAATAGAAGACAGTTAGGTACTCTCTTATTTATTCTGGATATCAGATAATCAGTTGTTTCTGTAGGAAACTACAGGCTAGTGAGATTGCCTTTGATTCCTCACAAAATTCTAGAGCCAATTACTAAATGGATGGTTAGTAAATATGTAGAAAGGAAAGTGGTGACCACAGTGAACTTTATGGTTTTATCAAGGATGGGTCATGCCAGACCCACCTAATTTCCTTTTTTAATGAGGTTACCTCAGCAAGAGATCAGGAAAATGCCATAGCTCTATCTTGTTTATATTTTAGCAAGGCATTTAACAGGGTCCCTCATCCAGTTCTTGTAGTGGAAGCAGCAAGGTGGCACAGTAGATAGAAAGCTGGGCCTAATAGCAGGAAGACCCAAGTTCAAATCCAGGTCTCTAGTGGAGTGTCTCAGGGCATCTGCACTTAGCTGTGAAGTATTCCCCTAGAGACCACCTTCCAAGATGATATCAAAGCATTACTGACTGTTCTTTGGATCCAGCAATATAACTGGTTCTGTCTAAGTCTACTGTCTAGCCCAAATCTCTTATATTCTGGTTGCTGGAGATAATGGTCCCGCTGCACTGTGTTTGCCCTGGTCAGAACACAAGTGAAGCATGATCAGTTCTAGGCACTACATTTTAGGAAGAACACTGATAAATTAGAGAGCACCCTGAGGACAAGGATCAGCATGGTGAAGGGGTCTCAAGATCATACCATACAGATATCAATGAAGAACTGGGAATGTTCACCCTGGAAAAGAGAAATAAACTTAGGAGGGGATATGATTGATGTCTTCAAGTATCTGAGGGGCTGCAACATGGAAGGCCCTGCTCTGCTTGGCTCTATCAGGTAGAATTAGGAATTATATGTGTGGAAGTGGTGGAGAAACTGATTGAAGCTTCATGTAAGAAAACATTTCTCTTTGTGCCCTTTCACGTTCTACTCAGTGTTTTATTCCTGTTTATGCCTTTTCTCTCTAAATAACTCACCCCACCACACTGGTGTCTTCAATGTCTTTGTATCCCTTCTCATTGTCATCCCCATCTCAGAGTGTCTGCTTACACATAGCAGGCTCTTAATAAATGTTGAATTGAAAGGAGGAGTTGTGATTGGTTGTGTCACCAGAGGCTCAGTTCTTTCAGTCGTGACTTGTTTGCTACCAGTGACCCAAGGGACACAGAAAACCAACCCATCAGAGGATTTCTGATGATGCTCAGCACCTCTGTCCCATGATAATGCATTTCCTCTTCATTTTTAACTTCAGGGATGATGTGGAAATTCAGATGATGTAAAAACAAAAGACCAATAAAAACTTATTTAAAGAAGAAAAACAAAAACTTTACATGAGTATGTAACATTTAGTTTCCTTCTTTCTAGTTCTCAGGCTGGACAACTAACATCGTAGACATTATTTTGGCTCACCACTTTGGGCAGGTAAGCATAATGGTTAACATACCACTTCTAACTTGGAAGTTTTATAACCAATAGCAAAACCTAAGTCATGCAGTTTGGCTCTGAGCGTATTGCCTCATGAGCAAAGCTGTCTTGTTTGACTCCAGCAGACTCATTGCCATTGAGCCTGTCAGCCATTTCCCAAGGTAGTAGTATGAGGTAATGGGAGGTGAGAGACCTCCAGAGAATATAACTGGTCATGATATATAACACCATGCAACAGCTAAAGTAAATGCTATCATTATAAAGGCCCATTTGACCCAGAGACACCCAGTGCTCTGTGACAGTTGGAAGAGCATTTCACCAGTGCCAGGTGGCCCTTGGACAGACAGAAGGGAAGGGGATGTTGAAGGGGATTTGCCAATTTCAAGTTCTTTGCCAGATTTCTTTTACAGACAGAGTAAGATCTAGAAAGGTTTTATGGAAATGACACACTTACAGAGTGGAATTTGAGGAAAGGGCATATGTAATTTGTAGGAAGAAGTGATAGAGTCGCAGGAAAGCAGTGGACAGCATGAGGAAATGGGCAGGCAGATCCAGGGTTGGGTGCTCTGTGGTATCTGAAAAAGGAAGAACCAGGGGGGGCAGTAAGAACAGACTCAGCGGTGACCGTTGGAATGGAGTTAGGTCTACTGATTTTTGAGTGGGTAGCTTCTTTTCTTCAAGGTATTTTGACCTGACTTAAATATCCAACTCCCGTGAAATGCTAAATGATCATAAGAAAGTGACTGTCGTGTGCATGTGATAAGTGAAGATAGGTTTTGATGGTGATAAATCAGAAACCTTTAGGAAACCTTTCCTAAAGAAAAGATTGATTAGGACATGTCCCTAACCTGAAACTGAAATAGTAAGGTAGCTTGATTATTGGGCTTTCTTGACCATTGGATGGTGATGATTTATATATTGCTTTAAATTTTGCAAAACACTGACCTCACAACAACCTTGTAAAGGTGGTAATACAAGTACTGTCCTCCCTTTACAGATGAGAAAACTATGTCTCTGAGTAGTGAAGTCATGATTTTCCCCATGATCACATAGGCAATATGAGGGGACCTCGTAGGTCTAACAGTTTTTCCATGATGTTTCACTGCCTTTCTTAAAAAAAAACAAAACCCGGTGTGACATTTCTTATTTTCTTTATAATTTTAGAATTTAGGATAGGCTCCTTTTCTGCATCTGTGTGAGAAAGGGCCTGAATTGTTTCTCCCTTAAAAAGTGCTAAATTCAAAGATGAATTTAGTAGTTCATACACACCAAGAAGTCTGTCAAATGGAGTGCTCTGTTCATCTCTTGCCCCTGAGAACAGAAGGGACATAGAAGGCTTTGGCTAGTTCACTGAGGATGAAAAATACTCGTGCTCATGTGAATCGAACTTTTTTCTCACTTGGAATTTACCTGCACCACATCTCCTCTCTTTTAGGAAGAGTTGCAAGCCAATCTAGACCTGATCCAAACATATCGACTCCACATCGCTCAAGATATTAACCAAGAAAATCTACAACTGTTCCTCGGTTCATATAATAGGTATGAAATGCAGCTTTATGTAGATGCAGCCTAAGAAGACAATGAACACTAGGAAAGGGGTGAAAAAAGTAATCGTTTCTGCTTCCGTTGTATTTGGTTGGTTTGCTCTTGTGTGGATTCACTTGCTACAGCAACCTGTGATATAGCCACAAACACTATTATCCCTGTCACGTCATAGGGGTTAGGGATGCAGTACCCCCCACATGTGAAATGTTTTGGCCTCCCTTCGTACCAGAGAGGAAGTCTGAATTTTTTTCTTTTTCTCTATGGGATGTTTATAGTACCTTATTGTAATATTTGGGTTAAATATTTGGTCATAGGCTCTGTGTTGTCTGCTGCCTTGTGTGTCATCTGTGGCTTCCACAAAATTCCCCCAAAATTACCATTTAGTTTCTTATGCCAACCCACAATATATGGAACCTGCAACGGGGAAAGTCGAAATATGGAAGGGATAACTGTAGCTAGCATAGCCCCAACCAAACTGATTATAGTTTTAAGGCTGTATCAGTTCTTTATCCTGTAGAGATACAGTGAATTTAAAACATAAGGCAACATAAAAGAGAGAAAGGACAGAGAGGAGAACATTCAGGTTTGTCCTCATTCTGTGTTATTTTTCCCCTCCACTACCTTGCTGTAAAATCTTCTATTCGGGCATATGCATAAGTCTCGGGGTTTTCATTTATTTACTTACTCCAAAACATCCATACCTGCCCTAAATCACTGAGAAAGTTTGCTTTCTGAGGACACAGGAAGGGATTCAGAAAATTTCTGTGAAAAACTCAGGAGCACATTTACTGTAGAGCCTTGTTAGTTTATGTGTTTGACTGACATGAACCCAGTAGCTGTTTTCAGTTCAACCAGGCTTTATTGAGCCTTGCTCTGTGTTCAGACATTATGGGAATTAGAGAAGCATGAAAGCTGGTCCCTGGCCTCAAGGAGCTTAGCTAGGAAGCTGAGTGACTGGGGCTCCAGCCTCCGAGGCATGTTGTTGTTGAGGTTTAGAGGGGCCTTTTTGTCCTGTGTTATAGAGCCCCTCAGCATGACCCCAGTGCTCTCTAGCTACTGGCTAACAGCTGCTGGGTTCTCTTTGTGAATAGATTGCTCCTTGGGCCTTCCCTGACTCAAATAACAAAAAACACCCAAGTTACCTATCCCATTGGGAATTTTATGAACAGGAAATCACTGCCAGTATTAACTTGTCTGTGATGATGTGCCCTAGGGATCTGCCCTTGGTCCATTTCATTAGTGACTTAAATGAAGGCATATAGCAGACATGCTCATCAGATTTGCAAATGACATGAAACAGAAATAATAGATACACTAGTTCACAGAGTCAGGATCCAAAAACATCTTGGCAGTTTATTAGAACAATGGGCTTAATGTAAAAATGTACTAGATAAATGTGAAGTTCTACACCACAGGGTAAGGCTGGCAATATTTCCTTTTTAAATGACCTATGGGATTTGGGGATATGTGTCCTTTATTGTAACATAAGCTCCTTAAGGGCAGGGACTATTTCATTTTAGTATTTATATCCCCAACATTTAGCCCATCACAGATGCTAAATAAATACCTGTTGATTGATTGCCAGGCACTGCAGAGGGTCCCTAGGATGGGGGAATGAGGTCATGCCTTAGGAGAATTGAGTCATTCGGTAAGCATTTAGTAAGTGCCTACTGTGTACCAGGAACTGTGGATACAAAGATAGAATTTGAAGAAAACAGCACATTCAGATAAAATTAAATACAAAAAAATATACAAAGTAATCTCAGGAGTTAACTAGGGAAAAATTTTTTTACGGTAAATTTCTCTGATCAAGGTCTCATTTTCAGGATACATAAACTAATTCAAATTTATAAGAAAAAGAGCCTATCAACCTGGGGGGAAAAAGTTCAGATGAACTAGGTGATAAGTAAATAAAGTGAGGCATTTATTTAGGGTCAAGTAATTGCAGTCCAGGACAGCATGCTGCCTTATTTAGACAGGGATGCCCAGGGAGAAAGGGGAGAAGGGGATTCTTATAGGACATGGCCATGGGAAAAAGCAGGACAGCATATAGTCTGGGTACACAGAATAGCTGAGCTACAGCAAGGGAATGTTGAAGGTGTTGAGAGATTACAAAAACAAGGTCGCAGAAATGTCCTTGGAGCTATCTCTGTTTGGGAGCAGTTAGAAACTGCCAATCAGAGCAGGATAGGGGCCCAGATTTTCCCAGGAGTTGACAGGCATTTCCTAATTGATAGGAATGGTTGTCTCCTACCTTTTCAGCTGTTTCCCTTTGCTAAGTCGTCGTTCTTGTCCCAGTCCTCACACATGCATGGGTGCCTGTGCCCCAGGGCACTGTGCTGGTTCCTGTTCTCTCCCTAGGTGATATTGTAACCCAGAGTGATAAATAAGATAATATTTGTAAAGCACTAAGCAGAGTGAGTAGCATTTATTAAGTGCCAGACACAGTGCTAAATGCTGGGGATACACATCTGAACAAAAAGACACTCCCTGCCCTCACGGATCTTACATTCTCACAGGAGAAGACAGTGTATTCTGCCAGTCAGTAAACATTTATTAAGTTCTTACTATGCAGCCAGGCACTGTACTAAGTGCTAGGGATACAAAGAAAGTCAAAAACAGTCCTGCTCTCAAGGAGTTCACTGTCTTAATCAAAGAGACAACATGCAAACAACTATGCACAGACTATCAGGATTAATCAGAGATAATCCACTGAGGGAAAGCATGAGAATTAAGGATCTGGAAAGGCTTCCTGTGGAATTTTATTTGGGATTTGAAAGAAGCTGGAAGGGAGAGCATTCCAGTCATAGAGGACAGCCCCTTGGAAATGCCAGTCACATAAAAAGGGGTTGGGGGAAGGGAATAATGCCCAAGTCCTGAGAATGAGGGGTGTGAATAGGCAGATGGGGAGGGGGGACACCAAACTCTAGAGCTGTATGAAGAAATGCTCCAAAAATCCAAATTTTAAAATGTGAGGTTCTACCTCACACTCATCAGATTGGCAAAGTTGACAAAAGAGGAGAAATGATAAATTTGCAGGGAGAGGCACATTGAGGCACATTTCCACATGGTATATGGAAATGCTTTTTTCTGTTGTTAGGTTCAGAATTTTTAGTGAAATTTATTGGTGACTTTGGAAGAAGCAGTCCCAGTTCTGTATAAAATGAAGGAACCAGAGCTTATATTCTGAATAAGAGGACACTAAGGGAGACTTGATTGACTGCAAGTATTTGAAGAGTTTTTGTATGGAAGGATGAATTAAATTTTATCTTCTTGGCCCAAGAGGGCTGCTTAGAACTGTGGGTGAAATGAGTGAAATAATTAGCTTAGAGCAAGCCTAACTCTGTGCTGAGCTCTGGGGGATATAAATTACAAACACATGGACAGTCCCCCCCCTCAAGGAGCTTACTCTCTAATTGGGAAGAGAGTACATAAAGGGGAGCTTAGTGGCAGAGTGGAGAGAGCCCTGGGCCCAGACGGATCTGAAAAATCACTCAACAACAGCACAAAGGGGAGGGAGTGGTGACTAGGCTAAGACATTTTGCTTTGGAAAGTTGCTGGCCTGGAGAGTAAAGCCTTACGGAAATAAATAAATAGAGACACACTTTTTTATGGAGCTGTGGGAGTGTTGATTTGATTATGGCTCCAGAACTGGAAAGGGGAGGATTTGAGGGAAGGGGGAAGATAGGGAGTGAAGCATGTCTCTGTAGTAGGTCTAAACTGTCCATGAAGTAGTCAACGCAGGACAGTGAGGCCTCAGGTGAGGAGGGTAAACTTCCTGATTAGAGCCATTTTGAAATAGAATGGATTGTCTTGGGGAGGTAGTGGGTCCACACCAGCTGAAGATACTCAAGAAGAGGCTGCACAGCCATTTGGGGGTAATTTTGTAGAAGGGAATTCTGTTCTGGTACCAGTTAGACTGATTGATCTCAGATTCTGTGAAATTTCCACTGGCACAATTCTGCCTAACATGCATTGTTTTCTTTGATTTACTCAGTCGCAGAGATCTGGAGATTGAGAGGCCCATACTGGGCAATAATGACAACAGAACAAAAACTTTGAAGTAAGTATCCCCACATCCTCCACGTCAGTGCTCACTTATGGACAAATGTTTGTTCTCTCTTCCCTTCCTTTCCCCTCTCTTTTTCTCATTCTTGCTCTCCTTCCCCCACTTCTTCTACCCCTACCTCTTCTCTTTTCTCACCTCTGTCTCTTCCCCTCTTCTTTCCTTCCTCCCTTCCCCCCTTCCCCCTCTCTCTTTCTTTCCCTCCCTCCCCCTTTCCTCACCCACTTCCTCAGAATAATTCAATGTTCAGGGTGTATTCAAGTGTGTCCTCTTGTCTCTAAGTGTCGCTCTTTGTCTGGTCTTTACTTAGGTGTCCTACATTACTGGTGGTAGGAGACAGCTCACCTGCAGTTGAAGCTGTGGTATGTGTGTACATGATCTTTCATCCCCCCCCCCGCAGATTTAGGGTTTTTTACTTGTTTTCAAAAATAGCTAACCCAAACCCTGTCCCTGTCCCACCCCACCCCCTGTTGTATATGGTACCTAGCCCTGCAGAAGGAAGTCAGGTCAGCCTTTTTGTGTAGGGATGCACAATATTGCTACAATCAGCATTCTGTTTGGGTCAGCCAGTAGCCCCCCACCCTAACAAAAATAACTGATATCAAGCCACGTTATTTCCACCTCTGTCTTTCTCACACACACGGCATATTGGCTTAATTTTTACACAAATGTTTGGTTATCTGATTTTCCCCAGTGACCTTGTCTTTTTTCCTACTTAAAATCAGATAGCGGATACAGATGGCAGGGTTTTCAAAACAGATGAGAAGCAGGTCAGCAGGTGAGGTGGGACAGTGATAACTTAGTGCAGAGCATTCTCCCACCTGACCATAAGGCATACATCTGTATACTGGGGTGTGTGTGTGTGTGTGTGTGTGTGTGTGTGCGCGTGCGCGCGCGCACATGCATGCATGTGCAAGCTCGCACACTCACATGAGTGCGTGGGTACATTCTTGAAGAACCACCAGAGCAAACTGAAACAATGCTGCCATTCATTAGAGGATCAGACAACCTCATTAGTCCCAGTGTCACACTTCATAATTACCACTGTTCATAACAATGAACTGGAGTTATCAAGAAGAGGTTTGGTTAGGTTCAGTATATTCTGTTGAAGAAGGCAGGCAAGCAAGCAGTACATTTTGGGAAAATTAATTTCAAATTTTAAAAAGCTTTGTCGCTGCTCAGTTTTCCAGAATCAATCATTCCCTGACTCCATAAAGTGAATGAGATATTATACTATGCCTTAAGCTTAATACAGTGTATTTTCCTTAAGGGAGTAGAAAGGTCATTGCATACAACCGTTATTCAGACCACCATGGCATTTCTTTTAAGTTTCAATCTTCTTCACCACTGTCCTCCTAAGGAGTTGGGTGTAAGGGGTCAGATTTTTCAAGCACCAGGATGGTAGGTTCTTTGTTCTTTTAGGATCATCTTCAGATTGATCTGATGCTTATTCATTTCTCTGGGAATCTTTTCTTCTTTCAGGTTGAATGCAACGCTCGCCTGGATCCTATGAACACAACTCTACTAAAGGTAACTACAGCAGTTTCCCCGTTTGCCCCCTTAGTGCCTCCCATCTGTCAGTAAATCAGGCTAACTGCCTGAAAGGAGGCCACTTGTGTTGTGAATGTTGTAGCCACTTGTCCATTTTCCCTTCGGTGCTTTTCCTTCAACCGGCCAGACCATCAGGCGGTCTGAAATCTGTTGTATTGTTTGGGAGCTTCCACCATCCCTAAATCATGAGAGTAGATGTGCTCCATTCCTGTCGATGCTTAAGTAGAGCATCCCAAGGGTCAGTAGTATCTCAGTGTCTATTCTGTTTTAATTGTGCCTCTATCTAGATTCTCTTTTTTGCTTTGGGGAATGACTAAACTCTGCTTATATGCTTAAAAGACCTAAGACAGTTTTCCTGGTACAGTTTGCCAAAATGTTGTGTCATCTAACCTTCCAGGTTAATGTCAGGTTAAAGGTAAGTCATGATCTTGAATAAGCCAGCCACTTCTGTTTTCCCCCCTCTTTGGAAGGTCCACACTCCCTTCCCTTCCTCTCAAAACAGGTGTTATCACAGAAATCTTGTCAAGTTGCTGAGATTAGACACACATGAGATGACTGAATGCAAAGACAGCAGGCAGCCCAGAGATTCTGGAGGAAGTCATCATCCAGGCAGTGTTCCAGAATGAAATCACATGATTCTAGAATGTGCAGCTCAGTCACAAAAACAAGCTTGCATTCCTGCAGTGCCTCAGGCTTTGCAAAAAACTTGCCTCAACAATGACCCTGTGAGACTGATGGCACAAATATTTTTGCCCCTGTTTTACAGATGAGAAAGCCAAGGAGGCCCAGATAAGTCTAATGACTTGCTAGTAATGAGAAGTCATTGGATTTGCTGTCAGTCCTTCAGACTCAAAAAAAAAAATCTTTCCACTTAATCACACTGCCTCTCCAGACACTGCCACACAGGGAATTGTCAAGGCCCTGAGGAAGGGAATGATAATAATAATGATAATTATAGTCAGCACGCACATATGTATGTGTGTCTATCCCCGTTTTACAGGTAGGGAAACTGAGGCAAGCAGGTTAAATGACTTGCCCAGAGTCACACAGCTAGTAAATATCTGAGGTCAGATTTGAATTTGAGTCTTCTTGACTCTAGGCCTGGCACTCGACCACTGTGCCACCAGCTGCCTGAACCAAATTTTGTTGATGTTTTTGCTTCTTTCCTGTTGCTTGTCACAGTGCCTTGCACATGGTAGGCCCTTACACCTGTTTCTTGAATGACTGGAGTGCCTTGCCTCAGGTTGCTTTGGTTTTAGCAATGAGTTTCTTCATCAAACGTTAAGACCACAGTTCGTGGTGGTAGTTAATCTTGTAAGCTCTGAGAGAAAACTGCTGTCCCAGGTCTGCAAGTTAGTCCCTGTGGTGTGCGAGCTCAGAAGGCTGGAGGCTGACTCTTTCAGATCCATCTCAGAGACTGTTCCTGGGCACGGTGGGGGACATGCGCCATTTGATTCAGCCAATCAGTAGTAGAACCCTAAAAGTGAACTCCCATCCCTTATTTGTTATGGGGATAGTGCAAGCATTGAATGTTGTAAGTTAAGAAGTATAAGCAGAGGGCTAACATACATATTTCTTTTTGTCTAGATGGCAGATTGCGGAGGGTTACCTCAAGTGGTTCAGGTATGAAGGCAAAAGATCATTTGGCTTTGCTTCCCACCGTCAATGGAGCTGTCTGAACTAATGTCTTCTCACTTTGCTCCCCTAGCCTGGGAAGCTGACCGAAGCCTTCAAATACTTTGTGCAGGGAATGGGCTATAGTAAGTAACACGCAGCTTTTGGTTTGGAGAAGTGTGAGAATTGTAGTCCCGTGCAGCGCTTGGTCCAGGGTGACGTCCAAAGAACCCCGGGCACGCAGCTGCAACACCCTGACCCAGGTGCTTTGTGCCTGTGCCTGTGCCAGGCCACAAGGCGAATTTGTTGCAACAGACGTTGATTCGTGTACGAGGCATAGTGCTGGGCCCAGAGGGTGCTATCACCTGGCCTTGAGGGAGTTTCCATTCTTCCATTCTGTCTGTGCACAGATAACAAAATACAAGGGGATCTGAGGAGGGAGCGAACACTCAAGGCTGGAGGGATCGGGGAAAGGCTTCATGGAGGAGGTGGCACCAATATTTTTAATCCATTGGTTATCCAGAATTTGTATTAAGTGCTCGAGTGTGGCAATGTACAAGCTCCATTATAGAGAAAGGCCCTGGGCCAGCTCAGAGAGCTTATTTGCTCAATAGTGTCCTACAATGTCATTCGTTATTTTAGGAAAAGAATCCAGTTTTGAACTCGGCACATCTTTTCAGAGTTAGAACTGATTCTTGACAAAGCACCTTAGCAGTCCAGCCTTTTTATTTTGCACATGAGGAAACTGAGTCCCAAGGAGGATAAGTGTCACTTGTTCCAGATCACGTAACTAAGAGGTGGTCACGTTCAATTTCCAACTAACCACTGTGGTACCATTATTAGTACCTACTTTCCACATTACAGAAACTCTTCTATGTTTGGGCCCTGCTTCAAGCAAGGGCTTTCCCAGGGAACGTGTCCTCTCTGCCTCTGGGAGCACCCCTGTGTGACGGTGTGGTCTTAGAGAGAACATAGGAGTGGGCGTTTTCAGCACAGACGGACCAAACCTGGTTCCTCTGGGAGTTTTGACCAGAAATGCCCAAAAGCATTTGAGACAGCAGCTGTCAGGGCATTGGACCATGACCCAGCAGAATGCTTGGCAAGACCCTGTCTGGTCTGGGGTCATTATGGAGCCAAACCCAGAACCATTTCCATGGGGTTTTACATTAAGATCTGGGTTTTCTTTGCCTATCCATTTTTCTGCCCCTTTTCTTAGGGGACAGTAAACTTGTCAATCCCCCTTTTCGCCAACTTCTCCTTTTAATTCTGATATAAAACTTTGTGACTATAGGGAATAGGAAAATAATTTCCTTTTCATTTGGATGAGAGAAGAAATATCTGAGAGGCCATTTGAAAAGCATCAAGCTTGAAAGTAACATTAATAACTAAGAACCAAACTGTTGTTCTGCTTTTTAGTAAGCAGCCTAGAAGGCATTTTAAGGTAACTAACGCACCTTTTCCTATATCCCCTCCTGCTTCCAGTCCCGTATGTGCAGCTCAGCCACTTGAGCACCGAGTCAGGTACCTCCCTCCGTGCCAGCCTTTGCCCTCTCCTCCCAGCAATGCTCTCCTGGCCGCCTTGGCTGCCTGCAGCATGTTAGCAGTCTTTCTGTGCAGTGGGAGCCCGATAGAACGAGGCTCATTCCATCCCTAAGTCAGTCATTCTTCTGGCTCTGACCCCTCCACTGGATAGCAGAAGGGATGGAGGGGAGGGGTGTGACAGGAGAGAGGCCAGTGGTCCTGGCAGCAGCAGTACCAGCCACTTTCTGGCTTTTAGAAGGCCAGAGGTCCTCTTCTACCCACTGTAAGGCCATTCCCATGGCTCCCCGCTCCTTGAAATGAGACCCTCATTCTAGAGAACAGGATAGCCTGTGGTGGTAGAAATTGGAAGCCATTTTCCTGGGGCCATGGCTCTACCTCTGAAATCTCATGTCCAGAGAGTGATAGGCTCCCAAACCTAAGGAAGATCCAAGAGTCATTGAGGGCGATGCTGGCTGCAGACCTTGCTGTGCCAGTTGTGGGAAGGCGCTGCCCTTGTTTTGGCGTTAGGGACGCAGCAGGAGTCAGAGCTCTGACCTCTCCTTGGCGTCCATCCCTGCTCTCCCTCTTCTAGGTCAGATTACCACTTCTGTTCTCCCAGTTCTCTTGTCTGGATACCCCTATACCACTGGTGGTTGTCACACCCATCTAGACCTACGTTGTATCGGGCTTGTGCTGTATTTGTGAAACTGTGACTTAGACTTACGTGTTTCTTTTCTTTGATTTAGTGTTGCATGTACCCACAGGTTTGAGTTCCCTAGAAGTAGTCCCCAAACCTCCTTCCTACTGCTCCTTGTTTGAATGGTTTGGGAACATCTGAAAAACTAGACTCTCTGATACTGCTGCTCCCTTGGGCCACCAGAGCTCTGGGGTGACCAGCACTGCTCTACACGTCCTCCCTCCTCGGGTGGGCAGCTCAGAAGAGTCCTGAGATTTGTGTGACTCTCTAAGGATCCTTTGGGGTGCAGTAGGAACAAGCTAGTTGAGACACCAACCCAGGGCCGTTTGTCCCTCTCAAGAAGGCTGAGTCACGCTAACACTCAATCTTTCAGTCCTTTGATTCTCTTGCAGTACCAGCAGCCAGTATGACGCGGCTTCTGCGATCACGCACCCACTCCACGTCCAGCATAGGCTCTGGAGAGAGTGTCTACAGCCGGTCTCTCACCAGCACGCAGTCAGAAGGAACCCCAGGAACCCTTGAGCCAGCTGACATCCTGGACAGGCCACAGACCATGGAGGTGTCCTGCTAAGCAGATGCGCCTCTCCTGGACCCCTCCAAGACCTCCCCCGACTGACCAGCCCCATAATATAGCATTTCATCCAGCAAACTGGCATTTACTGTCCTCACTCATTGCATGGTCACTTGTAACCTCTTCATTAGCCTGGATTGATGGTTCTTTTAGCCTTTCTTTTGTACATACCCAGTGATCCCCACACGGTCACCATAACATTCCAGTCTTAGCAGATACGTCCTTCCCTGTGCTTTCTCAACTATTTATCAGATAAGATTCTCTGATCCTGGTTCTCTATATGTGTGTGTGTATGTGTATGTGCGTGCGCGTGTGCATAGTTCTATGAATTTAGAATCGCTTTCTTGTTAAGCTTCTGCAAAGGAAAAAAAAGGGACTTGTTTTTTCCTTTCTGTTTTCAGGGGAGAAAACACAGAATCAAGTTTGTTTGGCCAGGCCGATGAGTTTTCTTGTGCTATGTAGCTCTCATTTTGGTTCAGTTGGTTTGCAAGCTTACTTGGATTCAGAGTAGTGCTGAGGAATGTAAAAGGTCAAAATGAGTATTCGTACCTCTCCCTCTTAAGGATAAAGGGAAACCCTCTTGCACATAGAGGAAAGGGAGGCCGGCCTGGTGCTTCAGTTCAAATGAATCCACATACACTATTTATTCTACAGCCAAATAAAAAGGGAGCAAAATATTCTCCACCGAGAATCTATGAGCAGTGGCAGTTCTGATACAGAGTGGAGTTTTAAACTGCACATATGGTTTAATTGCCAGACTCTTTTGCTGCAGAAATATTGAAAGCAAAATGCAGAGCGCTTCCTCTCCAGGGCCCAAAGAGGCGTGGAGACTCACCTGGCCCTCACCTGCTGCTGCAGGGCAGAAGGGTCTGCCATTCAAACAACTCATTAAGAAGCCCTTGTGTGGATGGTGAGGGGCTCATCTCAAAAGAATCCAGTCCAGCTCTTCCCAAAGCGAGCAGGAAGCAGTTCTGTGGATGAAGGGAGTTCTGTAGGCATTATCATGGTACACTAATATCACTGTGTTCTGGCAGACCTTATGCGAGCTCCATTAAAAATGACATTAAACAATTGTCTGAAAGATCCTTTGCCTTGTGAACTCCCTTTTTGTGAGAGGGAAGGTGCCTCCAAGGGAAAGTCTCCACCCGGATCTCACATGGAGAGAGCCTCAGTGCCAGGGCCCTGGCCTGGCCTTCTCAGCGACAAACTCTTTGTTTAGTTGGCTCGGTGCTGAGTTGGGGGGTGCAAGGGCTCTTGGGGGTAGATTGCTCTAAACTGCAGAAATAGACAAGAAGCCGCTGTGCTAGAGTACAACTTTTTACAAATTATTAAATAAAGCTGTATATGTCTCATTGTTACTCTGATTGCATTGCCATTATTTCCCTCACTAAGACAATAAGGGTTTAGAATCCACTTGTGAATAGCTTATTTTGTGTGGTGGTGATGACAGGAGGAGGAGGAAGGAAGGTTGAATTGACTGTGTTTAGCATCATTTTTTCCTAATTCTCAGCAACCCCTAGAACTTGCAAAAGCAAATCCCTCCCCCCTCCCCAAGACTTCTACTCCAGAGGATCCACAGGGGACCCCTGCTCTGTGCAAGGCCCTGTGCCGGACAGTGGGAATGGAGGACGTGACTAATGTATGGAAAACACTCCCCGGGCATCTAAGCTGCCCTGTCACCCTAAAATACATCTTGGAAGGCAGTTTATGCGTGGAGTGTGGCAAAGACCGTGCACGCTGCAGGAAGCTGAGAGGTCACAGGCCTGTGGGCCAGGGCTTAGCTATAAAGTTAACATATGGCCACAGATGACATCTTTTCATCCATGCCTCAAGGCCTCTACAGATACATGTTATCTTCAGATCTCACAATTACCTGGTCTGTGGTGGCCGAAACAGCACTTTCCCCTGTTTCCCCTTAGGGGCAGATCTGCTGGCCCTGCCTTCTGGTGTTGAGTAGGCAGGAAGCTAAATGGTGTTCAGGGGAACATGGGTGTGGGTGAGTTATGAATATTGTGGTCAGTGAGATCGGACAGGGTGTAGAGCACTTCTTGGGGTGGGGAGCAGGGGAAGGGGAGGTGAGATTTAGCCAGTGGGGCATCTTATGTAGGAGAAATAAATGTTAACAGTCACCATCTCATTCTGTCAAGCCTAGTATAGCTACCGTAGACCCTAGGCCCTAAATCTAGGCAGGTTTGGGTCCATGGTGCTACCAGCCCTCCCACTACATAGAAGGGTGAAATGAGATCAGGAGAAGCCAGAAGGTGAACTTGTGCTTTCAGGCACTTGTTCCTCGATGGACTACCTTCCCAAAAAACTAGGTAGAGGGAAGAAGGGAATAAGTCTAAAGCACTGACTGTGTCAGGCCTTGTGCTAAGTGTTTTTATCAATATTGAGGTAGGGGCTAGTCTCCCCATTTTTATGGTGGGGAAACTGAGGCAGATAGGCTAAGTTACTTGTTCAGGGTCACAGCTAATAAGTGCATGTGTCCGAGGCCAGATCTGAACTCGGGTTTTCCTGGCTCCTACACTGTCCATCTTGCCACCTAACTGCTTCTAGGTGAGGTTGAGTAGGTATGAACATTCTTGCTTCTCTTTTTGAAGATAAGAAAATTGGATCCCTTTTGTGATTTCTTGTTGAGAATAAACTTCCATATCCATTGACTCCTTATGATAAATTCCTTTAACTTTAAACTTAAAAATCTTGACTTTATCTACAAAAGAGAGATTGGAAGGGGCAGCAGGGGTATTGAAAAAAGGAATTGGTAGGAACCAGTGATGAATTAGATCCTCCACTGTTGGTGCCAGTAACACATACAGATATTTCAGGATAAAAGAGATCTAAGCAAGAAATTGCTGCAGAAAACAATTTAAGTCAGAGTTGACCTTCAAGGTCATCTTGCCCAGCCTCCCCCGCCAAGTGGATGAACCCCGTCGGGTGCCCTGGTGAGTGGTCATCTAGCCTGTACTTGAACATCTAGGATGATGGCTAGTCCATTTTTGTTAGCTCTCTGTTAGAAGGTTGTCCCTGATACTGGATTCTGCTTTTCTTCTGTTTCTACCCATTGGCCCTGGTTCTCTGGAGCTAAGCTAAATAAATCCACTGCCTCTGTCACATGTATATGGAGCAAATATCACTGAGAAGCACCGAGTCCTTGAAACATTTTAGTGTTAATAGTGTATTTCATCATTTCAATCTTGTCTGACTTTTTGTTCCTCCATTTGGGGTTTTCTTGGCAAAGATACTGGAGTGCTTTGCCATTTCCTTTAGCTCATTTTACAGATGAGGAAACTGAGGTAAGCAGGGCAAAGTGACTTGCCCAGGGTCACAGCTAGTAAATGACTGAGGCTGGATTTGAACTCGGGTCTTTCTGACTGCAGGCCCCGCACTCTACCCATGCTGCCCCAAAGATAATGGTAATTAACATTCATATGGTACTTTTAAGATTTGCATCTAGCTTTATATAGTTACTTCATTTGCTCCTTACAATTCTACTATAGAGGTTAGGTGACTTGCCCAGAGTCCTACAACTAGTAATAGGTCTGAGGCAGGATTTGAACCCGGGTCTCCCTGCCTCCAAGGATATCTGTCCACTATACCACCTAGTATCCAATAATAGTATATAGTGTATAGACAGGTACAGAAGAATTATTTTTGTTAAGACATAAAAGGGTTCATTTATTTATTTGGCCAAAATTAAGGCCCGGTATCCCACATCTATCAATTGTGCTTTTGTCCTTTGGGCAATATTGCTTCCTAGCTTAGCTTTGTGCTCCCTAAATAAGACCACTCCACACAATGAGATGTGTTGCTTTGGGCTCATGGCTAGGGTGATACTTTCTCCTCCAGAACAGGAACTTGCTGGTGCTTCTTAGGCTATGTGCTGTCGTCAGAGGAAACCAGTGGTTCTGAGAATCACCAAGTCTGCAATGTCTACTAAACACTCAAAGGAACCCTCCTCCATCTGCTGCACATCTTGAAAGGAGAGCTTTAGGGGTTTACACAGGTTCTAGGGCTCCCAGCCCAGAAGGACCAAGCTTAAAAGGTCTTCCCAGACTCGGATCCACAAGAAACCATCTGGACTGACCCTCACAGGCGAAGCCACAGGGACTGCCACAAGCTATCTCAATGTGGGGCCACCCCTAAACGTGCCCCGGCGTAGTGAAATCTGATGACCCAGTATAGGGACCCTGAAGGTCCACCCAGCCCTGTAAGAGAAACGGGTCCATCGATACCCTGTAGCACCTTAAGGTCGTCTCAGTATTCAATGACAATGAAATCTTGGTAAGTACATTTGGTTTGGATTATCAAATTAAAATGAGTGGGGGTTGAAAAGTACTGATTCCCTAGAATGGTCTCGTCTGATTTAGGTGATGGTATCTAGTTTCCTCTGGGGGACTTGGGATGTGGCAATCAAGGGAAAGCAGAGCAGGAGGAAGTCACACTGTCCAGACTTCAACAGATGGACTAGACCCTGAGCCACTGCCATTGGAGACACCGGAGTGGTGTCTGAATCCAAGGTCTCATGTTTCTCAAGGATTATGGTCTAGTATAGTAATTCCCATGATGCCCATTAATTGCCTTTTGTCACAACAAACATTTCTTGAGTGCCTACTGTGTTTTTGCATACTAGAGGAAGTACAAAGTTTCAGTAAGGTTTGGTCCCAGCCCTCATGGAAGTTACAGTCTAGTAGGAGCTAAAATAAACCATAATAATATACAAAATTATACAAGTACACCTGAAATTTGCAAGATAATGAGATCTATGGGAGAAGTCATCAATAGAGGATCAAGGAGAGTTTCCTGAAGGAGGTGTTGTTTAAATTTGACTTCGAAGGATGGGTTGAAATTCATCTGAAGAAGTAGATATTGCATACTAGACACAGGGTACAGAACGAGCAAAGGTTCAGACAGCCTGGTTAGAATTAGTTTTCCATTTTGGCTTGGGACAAAGTAATATGACCAGAAAGGAAGCATAACCTCCAATTGTGGGAGTCTTTGAATGCCAGTTACAGAAATGTGAAACTTGCTGATAAAATTAATTTTAAGGCCATAGAGGCACTGAAGATTTTTGAGCCTCGTGAGTAGTGACACAAACAGATCTATACATAAGAAAGATTATTCTAACAACATTAGCAAACATGGGATAAAGAGAGAAGAGAAGAGAAGGAGAAAAATTAGTCTAGGGTCTGTTGAATTGTTCTGGGGCATCAGTGGAATTGAAGGGTATGAATTCAAAATAGGGAATCAACAGGATTTGGTAACTAGATTCGATTCCATTCCATCGTAAGCACCTACTGTGTATCAGGCACTGCACCAGGTAATAGGGCTACAAAGACAAAAACCAACCATCCCTGTTCTTAGAAAGTCTATTTGTGACAACACATACAAGTAAAAATAAAATATATACAACATAAATACTTGTGGGGTTTTTTCCTTTTGTTTTGGAGAGGCAAGTATACCAATTGCTAAGAGGATAAGGAAAGGAGGTGATACTTGAGCTTAAAGGGATCTTGGAATTGCAGAAGCCAGGTGAGGAGGGTGAGCATTCCAGGCAAGGGAAACAGCCCATGCAAAGCCCCAGAGACAGAAGATGCAGGATACTGCATGTTCAAGTTCCAGTGTGGCTGGAACATAGATTGGGGGAAGGTTGGGGAGTAATGTATAATCATCCTGGAAAGATACATTGGGGTCAGATTGTGGAAGGCTTTAAATGTTAAATAGGATCCTTATTTTACCCTAGAGGCAATAGGGAGCCACTGAAGGGAATCTTCTTGAGCGAAGGAGTGATCTGGTCAGACTTGTATTATAGGAATGGCATTTTGGATGGTTTGAGGAGATAGTCTGGTTTGGAATATATTGAGCTTGAGATGCCTATATGATGTCCACCAGATATCAGATGTCCGTCGGCCAGTCGGCATTGTGGTCCTGAAGTTCAGGAGAGAGATGAGGGCTGAATATGTATATTTGAGAAGCATGTACCTAGAAATTGCAGTTGAATCCATGAAAACTGAAGTCATCAAGAGAAAGAGCAGAGAAGTTAAGAGGACCCAGGAAGAGACCTTTGGGAGACACACTTTGGAGTTAGGAAATGAATGATAATCCTGCAAAGGAGACTGGGGAGATTTCAAGAGACCAAGAGGAGAATCAGGAGAAAACAATGTCAGGAAAACTCAGGAAGGGTATTCAAAGAGGGATGTTCAATAGTATCAGATACTTTAGAGGCCGTATAGCAGAACGGTTACAGCACTTGATTTGTAGCGAGGAAGGCATGAGTTCTAATCCTGGCTCAGACACTTAGTAGCTGTGTGACCCTGGAAAGGTCCCTTAACTATTCAACCTCAGCTTCCTCATCTCTAAA